ATATATTATCTTAAAACGTTTAAAGAGGAAACTGACAATTTGTTTTGCTTGACCTTATTATGAATTAAATGTTGATTGCACAGTGTAATGGCTGAAGAATGGCGCCACACTCAGCATTTAGATCACTATAAAACTCGCTTTCACTCTGCAGTTCTGTCACCGCGTACGATCTCATGGGAACATGAAGGCTCCATTTCTGGCACAAAGGAAGTGCGTCAACCATTGTGCAACCAGAACAGGAAGCTATTATCCCCATTTGAGGAAATGGTGGACGGTGGAACAAACTAGGTAATTGTGGATCAACTAAATGCAGCATCTCCTGTGCTGTTAATTGCTAGGCTCGGAGGAAAAGAGAAAGCAAACCTGTTGTCCTTGCCACGCCGGCGGCAACAATAATACTACTCGGAAACATTTTAAAGTTCTGTGTTTCAACTTGAATCACTCAGTTTATCTACATTTAAAAACACCAAATATGGAAATGCATGGTGTTCAAAGGACAGTGACAAACAGCTGTTGCCTCTGAATGGGATCAAATCTTCAGACAGTTTCCAAAATCTGTTGGAAAGCATGAAACCAGACAACTGGAGGTTATGAAATTAATTTGGTTCAGGTGTTACTTTTGGCCTTTTAGTGTTGGTCTTGACATTCCTGTTTTTAGTTTTAAAAAAGAGAAGGTAATTTTCTGTTGACTGACAAAAATGAACAAAATATTAAACATCTTTATGTTGAAATTCTAACTAAACTAAACTAAACTAGAGGAAACACTGCACTGACATCAGGACTCTCTACTTCATGTGTGCTTGGCTGCTAAATCATTTGCGAGTGTTGCATCATGGGCAGCAGCAGATGTGGTGCTTACCTCTGACTCCAGCTCCGTCAGGTTCCCCACCACGTCTCTGCAGTCAGACACCAGATCCTCCAGGTGATCCTGCAGACACTCCAGCTCCTGTCCGGCCTCCGTCTTCTCGCTGCACCACTTCCCCAGGTCGGTCATACATCGTCTCTGGAGCTCGGGGTCCAGCTTCACGTCCAGCGCCCTCTGGTGGAGGATCCTCTGCACCTCTACCTTACAGTCTCTGGAGAGCTGCAGGAGAAGGACGACCACATTGGGTTAGACGAGACAAGAGAAACACCTAGCTGTTGTTGTTCCATGAGGCCTTAAAGTGATACTGCACTCCAGATTATTACCTAGTACTTTTGATAAGTGGCTGTTTTAAGGTTGTAGATTTGTAAGTTAGTTTCTTTAGACAGTTGCAAAGTGATTCATAATAAAAAATAAATAAGAAAGATATCAAAAAGAGGCGTATTTGTCATAATTAATACAAAGTTTCCAGCAGAGCTTCAGAGCCTCCTGAAACGTGCTCCACAAACTTGGTGACGTAGTGACTAATTGCAGGGCTAGTTGTTTTACCACTGTAGCTGGTGAGCTAATGGCTAACACGCTAGCATTCCAGTGCTGATCAGTCACAGTTAGACTTTTGAGTTTCTTCCCATTTACTCTACACTGGACTGTTATCCTCTGCTTTTCCTCTGAAGGTGGAGCTTCAATAAAACTGGAAGGAGACACACAGCTAATGAGCTACGATAGTTTCACTTTTATTCATGAAGGACTCAGAGGAGTGTAAAGAATATACCTGAGTGGAGTATCACTTCAAGGAAACAGCCAACACATCTGATTATTATCAAGAACTTCATTTGCTCCAGTTGATTAATCAGCAGAACCATGTTTTCCATAATTGGAGATTTGCATCGATTCTTCACATCACAGTTCAGCAGCTCCCTTCACGTCTCACACAATGACTCTTCACATTCAGCTCCCACATGCACCGCCATTACAGAAGAATTACAAAGCACAATCACTTCCCCCTTTAAACCACCAGTCATCATGACAGGCATGTCCAGTTTCCTTTGATTATCATCATCATCATCATCATCATCATCATCAGTTCAGCAGCATGATGTACTCACAGTCAACCTCTGGGTTTCTGCTTCAGACTCCCCACTGAGGAACTACGAGAATATTCTCTGGTCAGTGAGAAGGTTCGCAGACGTCCTGTATATTTGCAGTTTTTATTTCCTTCTGCACACTGACAGTATAAATACACATGTATATCAGTGGCCTGTCATTTGGCTGATGCTCTCATCAGGTGAGCTTAAAAGGCCTTAAACCTCAGATCAGCACTTTAAACTAAGAGGAAAAGGGTCAATACACCCACATTTTACCAACACAATTTCCCCACGTGCAGTGTTTCCCACAGGATTTTGGGAAACTATGGGGGGTCAAATTAAACTATGGCGGGCCGCCATAGTTTCGTTAATTAATGGGAAACACTGCACGTGGTAGCTAGCCATCCAGTGTTTATAAAACGATCTGTTATTTTGAGATTTCAGCAGCTTTGGCCAGCACTCCAGTGTGATAGAGGTAAACAGCCTCTGGTTTGTGGTGCTCACAGTATTTAGAAAAAAAGAAAGACAGCAAAACAAACAAACAAAAAAACCCTTAAGATTTATCCCCAGACCACACTACTGTTGGTTTAAACCAGCTCAGACTGAAAACTGATGATTAAAACCAGGATTATTTCAAGTGAGATGTATGTGGTGTGTGGCAGACCCCACAGCAGCAGATATAGAAGACAGACACTCCTAAATTATGCTATCTGGATAAAGAAATTATGACGGAACTGACCCTTTAAAAGGTTTAGATATCAGGAAAAACCCTCCAGTGATGGTGCTGTCCTGAGGACAGAAGCTCAAGAGACTCACCCTCCGTCCCTGCTCCACCGAGCGGTAGGCGTGGCGGTACAGGCAGGAGAAAATGGCGCCAGGTGGCATCATTTCGCTGGTCTCATTCCAGCCATGAGTGTGGCAGAGCCGAGCGGCATCGCCCTGACATTTCTTATATAAGACGGGATCCAACCTGGGAAACAACACAGGAAGTGATGCAGGTAAATTCAATCAGTCAGTCAATTTTATTTATAAAGCCCAATATCACAGATCACAATTTGCCTCACAGGGCTTTACAGCATACGACATCCCTCTGTTCTTATGACCCTCACAGCTGATCAGGAAAAACTCCCCAAAAAAACCCTTTAACGGGGAAACAATGGTAGAATTGTCTAACAGTACACATTCACACTGCACCAGCTGGTTTCTAATCTCACAGGACTTTAATGTTTCGCTCCTGAGCTGTAAATCAGTCTTTCAACTTGGTTTATCAAAGGTCAGTGAAATTAAAGCTGCAGGTTTTGTAGCTTGTGAAGAAGGAGGATCAGCAGGACTTACTTCCAGTCTCTGGCGATAAAGTACTGCAGCTCCAGCAGTCTGTGCTCACACTCCTCCACCATCTTCTCTGTGTACAGATGCTCCATCAGACAGGACAGGATCCTGCAGGAGCAGCAGCACAAGTACAGCAACTGAATATTTAAACTTTCATCTTTATTCAGACCAGGGGTCTTCAATGGTTTCCAAGCCCGGGGACCAATCGTGGCCCGTGGACAACCCGAACTCTGACGCTTTAACTTCTGATTTTAAAAAAAAAAAAAAAAAAAAAATCAGACTCTGATTGAATTGGATCTTTGCAGCAGTGAATAAAAGAAAACACACATAAAAAGGTGTAAATGACAAATATAAATACTCCACAGAATTACAGGAGAAATAAATATAAAAATACAATTAACCCCTTTAACGACTAAATCGGCCTAATTCATGAAGTCATGTTAGGATGGATTCTAACAAGCATTCAACCAAACTTTATGACAACTCTTCTTTGTGTCAGTTTTTTTGTAATTGTAATTAAGTGACATTAGTTTATGTTTAATTTTGTCTTTCCTCTAAATAAGAGCTTTGAAATGTACCGATGCAAAGTAACAGACAATCATGAAACAGAAAACAGCACGTGTGCTACACAGCTACCACGGAGAGAGAAGACCATCGTGTTTGTTTGACTCACATGGGGTCTCCACTGCGGATGTGTTTGCAGGCGGTCTGGATGACAGACTCACAGGCCTCGTTGAGCGCCCGGTCGATACGGTAGTCGGCTCCGGGGTCGGCTTCCTGGATCAGAGTCTGGAGCTGAGGATGGAAGACACAACAACATCAATGACAAAAAAAACAACAACAACACAACAACAACTGGAAGCTCTCGTCTGGGAGCTGCTGCTGCTGCTGCTGCTGCGACCAAGAACGTCCTCTTCGTTTAAACTGGGAATTCGTTTCACTTGACGTGATTATTTATTCCTGAAAAATGACACTTTAATTAGACTGAACCAATTCAACTCATCTCGGCTTAAGACAACAGCAAAATGTGATCACCGCACCAAATGATGACGTGCTGTGCAACATGACAACCAGGGGAAAAGAACCAACGTTTGCTTGTCAAGACAGACAATATTAACTTCAGAACAAAAGCTTGTTGCTTGTGACAAATGAAAGTTTATTTTCTGTATAGTTACTGTCATGTATAAGATTTAAACATGACTTACAGCCCTCTGACAGTTGGCGTCGATGGCGCCCATGTCTCCTCGGCCGACCCTCATCAGGCAGTGCAGCGTTCGTCCTTTACGGTGCAGACCGGAGCAGTGACCTTCGATCTCGCTCCTACAGTGCAGCACGATCTCCGGACTCAGAGAGAAATCCTCCATCAGCATCCGCCTGTAGTCCATCATCTCACCCTGACACTCGCCACTGACCACACGACCTGAGACACACGCAAACACACAGCGCTGAATGAAACACTCAACAGACACAACAGTTTACAGAAGTTGAGTTAATGGTAATTTTAAGTTGTTTCTTATTATGTAGCTTTTTAAAATGTTTTTATTAATGATGCAAACTGAACTGTAGCTTTATAGAAGTCAAACTGCGGGCCACGTTTAGTCCACATATGGCCCACCAACACTTCACATCCGGCCTGCCAAATATTGGTAAGTCTAGAAAATGTGAAGAGGAAACGATGCGTTCCAGTATTTAGGATATTACAGTCGTGCACTGAACAGCAGTGGGATAAGTGAAGCTGAATCAAAACTCTGTCATATCTCCGAGCAAGAATGCACAAGAATGAAGAATTGCACCAGTCAAGACACTGCACAATGTTGGCGTCAAAACCAATTTAAGTGAACTGATATTTCCCTCCAATAAGGACTGCATTCTGTTGATTGAGTTTCCATACTTTCAGATTTTAACCATCAGTCCTCAGTGAACTGTCTCCTTGGCGGAGGTCTGAGAGCATTTTCTAGTTAAGTGTCTTTTTAGTAAGTCTACCTTCACCAGCTGCATCAGTGAAATAAAATCCTGGCTGCAAACCAACTTCCTCAAACTTAAGTGTGACAAACACATTCATTACTTCCAGACTGGACGACTGCATCAGTTTCCTCTACAGTGTGTCGGCCAAAACACTCAAGACACTACTGTATATCCAGAACTCAGCTGCTCGTCTTCTCACACACACTCTCATACCCGTGACCAGATCACCCCCGTCCTTCATAACCTCCACTGGCTCCCCATCCCTCAACATTTCCACTTTAAACTCCTCATCATCACTTACAAAGCTCTCCACAACCTGGCTGCCCCACACCTGTCTGAGCTCCGCCACCGGCCCACTCCCTCACACACTCTCAGGTCAGCTGATGCAACCCTGAAAATATTAAACTTTAATTTTAAGCTTTAGGTCTTGTGTACACTTGTGCATGTTTTCTGAGCACCAGCGTCTTTCTGAGAGTGTCTGTGGCCGCTAAGAGAAAATGTGCCGTGCTCTGGGTCTCTTTTCTCCAGCATTTTGTGCTTCTGTTGAAAATCTCTGATTTTTTCTGAAAGGCACTGGTGACGTCACTGCTGCTCCTTTAACCACCATGTGTCCCAAGCTGTTTGAAACTATCACAACAAAGACAGAAAGGCAGATTTGTGGGAGCAGATTGATACTGAATGTTGTGCTTTTATCAGTGTGTGTGTTGGCAGCTTGACTGTGTAGTCACCCCTGTGTTACTGTAGCGTCACAACAGCTACCTCGCTAAAATTAATGTCAAGATATTGTTGCCACAGAAACAAAACCCTGCGTGGCACGTCACTAAAACAGTGCTGGGTTGAAGCCCTCCCCAGAAAGAAAAACGCTATGTGGACACGCTCCTTACAACCTGAATATTTAAGTTTCATTTTGTATCTTGTTAAATCTTTAAATGAAGAAAAAATATTTCAATTTCTCTAACAATTAATTCAGAATTATTATTATTTTTTTATTCTCTTTCATGTCTAAATCGTAAAACAGGAACCTACATGCATTTTTGTTGCAATTAAGATGCTGCAAGAAGAACTAAGACAACCACATTGCTGCAACCTTATTGCTTCTTTTTCCCTTCTGTTCTCAGAGGACGTTGGATTTACTACTGCAGCCTGGACGATGACGACCGACCGACCGACCGACCGACCGACCGGAGGTTCAGTGTGTAGTTGAGACATCAATAAATTACTGGCAGGAACAGAACAGTCACTGACAGATACTTGGGCTGCCTGTGGCCTCTGGCTGTCCACTGAAGACATAAATAAGTGTTTATGACTGAGAGTGACTGACGGGCAGGACGCTCACTGAGCTGCTTACCTCTGTGCACAGCAGACTCCAGACAGAGCAGCAGGTAGGACAAGCGAGCTTCTCGGGCTCGGGGCATGTTGTTGTCTGCGCTGCAGCGGTATTTCCTCAGGTCCGACTTGCAGGCTTTGGCCAGCGAGTAGCTCACCTTGTAGTCCTGAGCGATCAGCTTCTGCCTGGTGGTCAGCGCCTCGCGGCACTGAGGACACACAGCCACCGTCAGTATCACAGCACAGGCTCAAACGTTTTCTACTCCAAGGTGGCAGAATGTCATGTAATGGTGTAACAAGACTGTGTTTCCTCACAGGATCTGTCTTCGATTTTTAATGTTGTATTATGACCTTAAGCTTTACCACGTCTGTCACTCTGTGGACTTTATTTTACACAATCTACCGTCATGGAAATTTACAATGAAAGCAGCTTGTTAAAAGTATTTGGATATTAAACTCACCCTCTCAGACATCGCCTCCTCAAACTTGTGATTGAAAAGACATTTGTAAACTCGTCCTTCTCCAGCCAGTGTCTACAAAATAAAAATCACACCACAGTCCATTAACAGCAGAGAGATTCCTTCTCACTGGAAATATTTCTTGCTCTTTTCATCATTTCATCAAGCAAATATTCACAATTACAACATGCAACACTATGACTGATCCTGAGAAGCTGATTCATTCAGATAATCCCTGATTCCTTTGATATCAGACATTATTTTATTATAAGTCAAGGCTCAAAATACCACATGCATATGCATGGTAGTGTAAAGGAAACTTGAGCTGTGCACATAATTCTCAGCTCAACATACGCCAGTGCACTTAACATAAGGTTGTGCAGGGCTGCTAACTCTCACACATTAACCATGAGATTCACGCAATCAACACTTCATGGGCCACATGACTATTTTCTCATGCACTGAAAAACTAAGCTATGACTGATAACAAGGCTGCTGTCAGCCCTAGAGTGGTCTCCTTTGGTCTGAATCAGGGACTCATGTTGTTCCAAAGTTGTATAATTGCCTAGAGTTGGTTGGTGTTCTCACGGCAGCATTTACAAGAGGACCAGATCAAATGCCTTGTGTGAGAAAGCTGCTCTTGATTGGTCAGAATTTCCATGTGGGAAAAATCCAGGAAGTAAAGCAAACGTTGAAGAAGAGTACACTTGCAAGATAAATGTGACACTTTCTAATGTCACAATGGAGGGACAACTACGCAGGTTGATTTTAGCGCTGCTCATCGTGGACTATATTGCTGTCATTGTTCATTTTAGTCAAACCATACAGTTTGAAAACGAGGCGCGGCTCCAACTAGAAAACAATGTTTTGATGCATTGGATGTGCTGAATGTGCATATTAAGGCAGTACAGGAGGAGGTGCACATTAATAATCCTCCAGGACTGTAACATGCTCATGTTTAACCCAAACAATGTGTCATGTGACTGCAGTTGCTTCACATCCAGGTCGGGACACCTTCTCACCACAAACCAACCGCACCAGAGTTCCTTTGGAACCGGACTGAGACCACCTCTTCAAGAAGGTCTCAGTCCGGTTGTTTTGGTGTGTTCACACCTGCACAAACGAACCGCACTGAGGGGGCAAACACACCTGAGTTTGATTGAGCCAAACCAAACAGGGCAGGTGTGACAGCACACTAAAAAGTACACGTACCAGTGCAGCTACACAGATAAAAAGTATTTCCAGCCTTGCAGGTGTCTTTATAAAGTGGACAAAATCTTTTTTAGGAATGAAACGCTTCAGCTGCATCAACACAAGCTGCTGAAACATCAGCTGCTGAAATCACTTTTAAACGTTTCTCATGTAAAAATAAATATGTGCTCAGCCTTATAATGGCACTAAAATAAAAAGGTATAACTTTCTAACTTTGAAAGGCCATCAGTGTTTCTCGTCTGTGTATGTTGTCTGATTAGCCTGAGGCATGCCTGTGTCACTGACGTGAGATAATTAGGACAGACTCCTCTTTTGCAACTTTATAACTAAAGTTAATGTGATGTTACCACAAACCGAGGCTCACTGCAGGTTTTCAAACATGAAAACTGAACTGACGTCCAATTTTTTAAGAAGCTGATAAAACCGACATGTTTCTCATTTTACCTGACGATCATTACAAAAATATAAAATGTGCAGAACCAGGACATCACAACAGGACATTAAGTGTTTAAAGGATAAGAAATACATCAGTGTTAATCAGCATAGAAAAGGACGCAGTCAGCACTTTCTACAGAAACTCTTGAGATGTATTTGTGATAGCAGTAACTCCAGCCAACAGATCAGTTAACAGAAGATGTTTCATGGCGCTGTGGAGATGTGAGTAGATAGAGTAGACAGATCAACTGAATCCTCACGTTTTCACAGAAGCGCTCTCGGTCGTCGCGGCAGGCGAAGTACAGGTATCGATCCAGGTGGAAGTCGTCTGAGGAGAGCTCAGCGACTCTCATGATGGACTTTTTACAGTCGTCCTTGATGGAGTGAGCCCCCGGCTGCTCCTCTGCCTCCCGCACCAAACCTTTCTCCAAACAGGCGATGACCTCGCCCTGAGAGTGGATGTCCTGCACACAGAGAGAGCAAAGGTCACAGTTAAGTGTCAGACTCTGTGTCATTCAGCTCTAGTGTTAAAGGGATTCCTTTTCAGACAGCAGCTCAAGCTCTAACATGTATTCATTCAAATCAATCTGTTCTTTTAAACCAATTAATTTCTCACACTCTGTAAAACAAAGAGGCAGCCTTCACCAGTGCCAGAGGAAAGTCTGTCCTGGTCTATTTGCTCCTGGTTGCACACTTTCTTTCTAAGACTGCACTATACCAACAACACCTTGTCCAACCTTGAAGCAGATGGGCTACAGCAGCAGAAGACCACACCAGGTGCCACTCCTGTCAGCTAACAACAGGAAACTGAGGCTACAATTCACCAAAACTGGACAATAGAAGATTGGAAAAACCACATTCAGATGGAAGCATGGATCCATCCTGCCTTGTATCAACGCTTCAGGCTGCTGCTGGTGGTGTAATGGTGTGGGGGAGATTTTCTTAGTACCAACTGAGCATGGTTTAAACACCACAGCCTACCTGAGTATTGTTGCTGAGCGTGTCCATCCCTTTATGACCACAGTGTACCCATCTTCTGATGGCTACTTCCAGCAGGATAACGCACCATGTCACAAAGCTCACATCATCTCAAACATGACAATGAGTTCACTGTACTCCAATGGCCTCCACAGTCACCAGATCTCAGTCCAATAGAGCACTGCCTGATGTCATCATGTCAATATGGACCTTTGATTAAAGCACGACACTGGCCACAGTTCAAACATGGATAATTACCACCTGGAGGGTGAGACAGAAACTGCTGAGGAGGTTTGTACATGTGTTTATTAAATGCAGATGAATGTTGAATGCCATGCAGACAGTTCTCTCTTTTTCTGCCAAAGAGAGAGCACTGAGAGCCAACACTTTAAAAAATGAGTCATCCTTTCCTCATCCAGGTAGAAGTGAAGTCTTTTTTTAATGTGAATTCCAAAACACCTCTTTGGGGAAAATAACAATTACTACCATTTTTTTTAAACACACACATACACACACACACAAATGTTCCCAATTTAAAAGTAATAACAGTGCAGTTTATAGCCTCACTAATCCCACACAGAGTGAGCTTTCCTTTCACTCCATAAATCATTTTGTCAGAGGATGTCGTGTATGTTTTCAGCGCACTGAGAGACGAGCTCAGTCTGAGTAAACATGGTCAGTCTAATCTCCACTCCGAGCAGCTCCGGCACACTGAAACGAGCCACCGTGACAAATTCCTGATAATGAAACCAACTCTGCTCCCGCTGACAAATAAATAATTTGCTCCCAGTTCTAATTGTGCCCGCGCGATATCCCATAGTAACTGCGTGTCTAACAGGCTTATGAGGTTTAGCTTGGCTCAGCAGCAGGAGAACACGTTCAGAGGAGATGGATTCGCTCTGCTCGCTGACAAACTGCTGTCAAAGTTGTCTTTTCTCATTCCAGCTGAGTCACACTTTGAACACAGTCTCTGGGTGAATTTAGACCCAGTGGAAGCAGTGACGACGGCTCATAAGACCCACCACACAATCTGTTTGTCACACATGTAAACACCACACACAACGCTCACAGGTGCTGTTGTTGGGACTTCTTACACCTGCAGACAACCAACATTATGTACCAGTCCCTCAGCCTGGTCACTCACACACATACTGGAAGAGGACAGCTACTCATCATCAGAGACCCACATGGGTTTAAAGCTGGGGAAACAGGATTCCTGGGAATACACCACAAACTATTTGCCATTTCCTGAGATATCCAATAACTGTAAAACAGGAAAAACTAGTTGTGTTCTAGGAATAAAAATACTCTGATAATATGTGAATCCTTCTCACCATCCTGCACGGATCCAATTCCAACTTCCCTCTGGCCCAAATTCATCCACTTAAATGTGTCTAAATCAATCTAACAAACCATGATGTCTGCCACCAGCTTTACATGGACATACTTTAAAAGACAGCGACGGCGAGGAGAATAAGATCCACTCCAGCTTGATAGAGTGACCCTAAAAAAGCTTAAGTACTTGCTTTAATGAATTTCATTTGTTTATACTATGAAAATGTGTCAAGTATCACTTAAATAAGGCAAAATGGCACAAGATAATCACGAGGTGTCGTCCTCTGGAATACCTGACCTGCTTGCTTCACTCCACAAAGGGATGATTCATGAAAATATGGACTGCAAACCACACTCGCAAGCATTTTGCTTGACTGACTTGTAGACACTGCACCTGTTTATATCTCAATGTTATATCTAAACAGAAAAGTCAATAAATATATTTGACCAAAGAAAAATATTAATTAATTAATAATAAGGTCACACTGCATGTGAAGTTTCTGTTAAATGTTTTCTTCTTTGTTCACCTAATTGTTTGTCCTTTGTTGTTGCCTTTTCATTTAAAAAATCCCTTTTCTCTCTTGAGTTTTAATACAATGATGCCTCTGTTGTTCTTTTTTGTATTTGTGTTGCGGCATCATTTCTACCATTGCTGCCGAATTTGATCTTGTTGTCTTTGTACATTATTCGCTGACTTGTTCTGTATATCTTTATAAAAATACACTGGAGCTGTCAGGTTGGGAACCCATTGGTTTATGCATATTTGTCCTTGTTGCATGCTGCAATCACTCTTTCATTTCTCCAAAAATATGATAATATTTCTTCAGGGAGTGCAGTTAGTTACAGTGTACGCTCCATGCTTACTCTGACAGCTTGCTGGACAATCACAAAGGGGCGGGGCTTAGCGAAAGGTCATTTGATCACACCTGATCAGATCAGATCGATGAATTAGAAGAGCAGCTGCAGCAGAAAGCAAACTTTCTTTACTGGTTAGACCCAGCACTGGACAGCAGGGTGCATGGTGTTCAGGTTGAAAAAATATATTGACGACACTAAAATCAGCCTATATGAATTAACGAACAGGTTTATTTGCCTGTGCCCAAAGTACACTCACTCTGCCACGACATAGAGAGGAAGAGAAAGGCAGCTCCAAAAAAATCTAAATGTGTCAGCACATGTTGATATTGTGTCAATGCCACAAATGAATGAATGTGTGGGAAACCCTGCAATGACTTACTGTAGTAAGTAAGCAGCATTCCACATGTTTGAGAAACTGAAACCAGAAAGTGTTTGGCACATTTGCTTTGAAAATGACTTTAATGCTGAATAATTAAAGCTCAATTATTGACTGAAGACAGAAATCTTCACAACACCTCACAGACATAGTGTCATGTTTAAAAGAAGACATCTCAGCTGGTAACTGTAGTTTTTAATCACAGAAACAGAAGGAAATAGTGAATTTGTTGGGAACTATTTTCAGTGAAGGATTAATCCACATTCGGTGCACTGGTGGGTATTTGGTGCAGCAGGACAGTGTACGCAGGACTGAGTCAACTGAGTCAGTTAAGTTTGAACCTACTGAGCTTCCATCTATATTAACACAAGTGAACACACGTACTGTCACTGCACTTAAACAACTTGATGCAGGGAGGAAGTTGGTGCAACATGACGAAGCACGTCTTGCAGCATTTGTCATATCTCGCTGTGAACCACAAGCAGCTGATTTAAGATAAGGGACTCAAGTGGATGAAGTTCTCAGTCACTCGGGTCAGGGTAATCTCAAGTGCTATATCGTAGGCAACTGCACCTCTCATTCAAGAGGCTTCTTCCGTTCATTACGCGTCCCTGCTGAAACGTTCACTTATATATAGCCTCTCTTTGGCGTTTGAGCAGCTTTATAAAACTCCTGAACATGTAATGGCTCCTTAATTAGCAAGCTGACTTTACATAGACAGCATATCTTTTCAATTTCTCCTGACATTGTGTTGTTTGGTTTGTTCACCGCTCGGCCCGAACATACTCGGGCAGAACATACGCGGAACGGAAGCGGACGTCCGCAAGCCCTGTGCGCGCAAAGCTCAGATTTTACGACCGCGCGCACCAGTGACTGCTCGGCATGTATTTTTCACATCGTGGGGATTTTTCACAGACATTTTTTACAGGAAACTACAACGCGGAAGTGCGCTCGACTATGACTGCGGACATTCCTCGCGGAGTCCGCTCCGCTTATAGTACGTCCGAGTATGCTTGTGTCGAGCGGGCGGAGGCGTTGATCCCCCCCCTCTGTCTCCTCTCACTCAGCCTCGTTCAGCCTCGATCTCGTCAGCATGCTCCACACACGCGCTGTCTCCCCCCCACACCTCGCGATTGCATCGTCATTTAAAAAAGACATCGTGAAACAACCCTTTTATCACCGATGGGTGATCGGATCGCCCATCGGCACAACCCTAGCGTCCTGTTCTACATATCTACCAAGTTTAGTAAAAATCCATATGGCGCTTAGGCCTAGATAAGAAATGAGCTCTCTAGCGCCCCCATTTTGTTTGATGGGGTCAATAATGGAGGGGTCCCCTCAGATTATGTGTGGTCATATGCCTACAAAGTTGCGTGGTGATGGGTGAAACCCTTGAGATGTTATACACCTTTATGTGATGAGCCACGCCCTCCGCAATATTCATTGCCTTATAGAAGCTCAGTTTTAGTAAGTTTTCCAACTTTTGCCAAGAGGGAACTTTAGATATTGGTCCCTAGATTATGTTCACCCAGTTTCATGCAGATCGCTCAAACTTCCTAGGAAGAGATCTATTTGAAGTGTTTTTCAAAAAAATCAAAATGGCGGAAAATCTATATAAGCGGAAGTTATGGGTTCTTGAGGCAAATGTGTTCCTCATGAGGAGAGGCATCTCTGTGCAAAGTTTCATGTCTCTACGACATACGGGGCATGAGATATGCCCATTCAAAGTTTGACATTTCAATGGGTTGCTATAGCGCTCCCCTTTGGCCAATTGATGTAATATTGCTTCATTGGCATCCTCCCATGACCCTCTACCACTGTGCCAAATTTCACATGGATTGACCAAGTCAGTGAGGAGAAAAACGTGGAACACACACACACACAGAGTTTTAATCATTATATAGTAAGATAATCACGTCTTAATTTATGGCAGTCGAATCTGATGAATCTAAAACTCTCTGCTTATGTTTCTGATTAAAACAACATCAAAAGAATCAGAGCCAGAATTTAATGAGAACGTTAAATGATTAATTGAATAACCTCAATCCTAAGCAGCATTGAAAGCCTATTAAGATTGAAAACAAATTCGGTATCCGCTGTAAGTGTTTGCATTTCACCTTCTCTCCGGTGCTGATGCTGCCGCAGTGCAGCGCGTTGATGTCTTCACGACACTTGTCCATGAAGCCGCAGATCAGCCGGTAGTCGCTGAAGACGATGGTGGTCATCTTGGTGATGTACTGGTTGCACTGGTAGTCGCTGATGTTGCCACGGTGATCCACCAGGCAGGACACCAGGTAACCCTTCCCGAGCTCCTCCGCTGCACATTCTTTAATCTGAGTGAAGAGGGCAGACGGCTTTGTTAACTCTGCACAAGAACTGGAAGCACTTTGAATTTAACTTGGAAAAATATCTGAAGCTACGTGTAGAAAAACTTCATCTGTCACCTGACCATGTGTCATGTGTCAAAGGGAAAGGTAAAACTTCAGGTGCTATTTTAGACTTGTTATTTCCTGAATAAACATTCAACTAATTCAGTTATTTTCTTACGATGACATTTAAGTATCTTCTGTTCTCTGTGCAGATAATGTGGCCTAAATATTCAATCACTCATTTTTATTTTCTTGCAAAACACTTCAAGCTCTGCCTACTGCCAAGTTATCTAAAAACACACAGCTGATCACCATATTTATTCCGCTTTTATTTTTCCTCAATTTCTCCTGTTACTTTTCCCCCCTACTTATTTAAATTTAATTTAAGTTGCTTCCCTGAGAAATTATATTTGTACAAAAGCATTTTGTAATTGCTTTTTGTGTGCATTTCATTTTTAAGAAGAAGTTGCGGACAGCCCCTTGAGATGAACCATCTTGTTTTTTGGGGGTCAAACACAAAACATACAACACACTTCATTACAATGGACACAATCATAACATAAAACATACATACATGGCTCTCTCATTTACAGACCCAGCCCCAGATCATTCCTGAGAGCCCACAACACCCTCACACAGTAAAAGGGATGTCTCTGCCACCATGTTAAGGATATATATGGTTTTAGGTATCGTCTTAAAATAAGAAGGATAATTCCACTCTTTTCATCTTGTTCCACAGGCCCTCCAGTTTGTGTGTGCACATACATAAATAAACACACCAATAAACCTTTGATCATTTTAACCACTTCAGAAATATAACTAGTCCAATACTAAGCCTCAGTACACAGAGGGAGCGCAACACATCATAATTTAACCTGCATGAGTTCATTTTTCACAGCCCAACAGGCTGACAATAATCACCTTGGTGTTGTTATGAAATGAGATGAGCTGCAGGTGATAATTCTCTGCTGGTTCATCACAACCAGCGACAACTTCCTCTCTTGTATTCGTCTGTGTGTTTTGTTGTCAGAGCAGGAAATGTGTTTCTTAATTTGCTTGTTATTTACTTACTTGAAGCTTTTAAAACGTGTTAGGAAAGTGGTGAAGATGTTTGCTTCATGTGTTTCGCCATTAGTGCGCACAATCTACGTAGGAAAGGAAGTAATCAGCAACACCTGCTTTTAAACTGAGCTGTTAAGACTCCTTATCAAGACAGAACACAGATAACAGTTCTCAGTAATTTCACTTTATGTTTTTATTGCTTGATTGCTACTATAAAGCAATTTTAGATTCAACTACAAAAGTGCACAGTAGAGAGCAGATCTACGCCAGGGGGCCACATTCCAGCTGCAACGCGGCAGCCTGAGCTGATGATCACGGCCGATAGAAAGACGATTTTTGCATTCCAGCAGATGCACTGCAATGCATTTCAGAAGATACAAAAATCTTTGATCAGAGTCATTTATAACTGCATTATCAACAGTGTTATCTTTGTCTGTGGGCTGCTACACAATACAGTCGGATATAAAAATAGTGAATGCAATTAGGTGCCTTGAATCACCTTTGTCTCTGGAATGTGCTTTTTAAATAAACTTGGCCAAAACAGAGAAAAACAGAAACCCTTTAACTGCCAACTTAATAATGTTAGAGGCACAAATATCAAGGATAAATGACCAAACCTACAAAATCGGGCAGTGCTTCTGAATCACTCCCAGTGTGGTATGACGGCGTGCGGCAAGTTGAACAAAATGGGATCGCAATGGCAGCCTGGAGTGTGGTGCAGCTGCACCCGGTGGAAATGTCCCTCCAGGCTCCTTTAAAGTCAAGATGGCCGCGAAATAAAAAAAATGGTTATATATTAATCTTGTATAGTGCCTCACTTAGTGGATGGTAACATATCGGGTATAAAAATAATCTGCAGATGCTTCGGTTCAAAATGAGACCAAACTTTTCGATGGGCGACACTGTCACAGCTACAACAAAGACCAAAATGTGGCCTGTAACAGACAGCAAGGTTTGCTGCTTCCAGCTGAGCCGATTACTGGGAAACATGCAGCCCCTACCTGTCAGTTATGAGGAGGGAGGAGTCATCAGTTAACGATATAAAACAGCTGATAAAACAGGTTTTTCAACAATTGTGAATCACTGCAACAGCAAGAGGTCCTCAAGCATACAGCCACAAATGTGCACACAAGATATTAGACTGATCGGTCCAGTAGTTTGTGAATTGTAGAAGTAGTTTTGGAATTTGTAAATCAGAGTGACTATACACTGACGACTGCTTTTCATTATTTGTAGACACTACTTTGTGTCCATCTGCTCGTTTGCATGTTCATGTCTTTTTTTAACACGTTCTAAATAAATATGTAATATCAATATTAGCTGCGGACAAACAAACATTCACAATGAAATGCAGGATGCCCTTCAGGTTTAAGCCTGGTGGAGATAGTTCTGTATGAAACCTGCTAACTGTAATAAAACCTGGCGTGCTGATGTTTGTGAGGGGAGAGCAGCTTCAGGAAGCTTCATGGGGCTCTGAGGCTTGTAAAAAAACAAAATGAGCCTGATGGCTGATACAGACGCTTCAAACTGATCTCAAAGATTATTTCTTCCTGTGCGTTGTCATTTCTACAGTTACAACATGTCTGCTGTCTGCCCCAAAACTGACTAAAATGAACCACATTCAATTGAAGTTCAGATACTAAATTATTTAGTTGACATGAATCTACAAAGCGGGCTGGAGAGTTGTTTTTGAATGTCTTTCTAATACTTTGGGGAAACACTACGAATTGTGCAACACTTCCAACTGCTGTCTGATTCACAAGAGAATGTTCTAATGATTTTACAGCGCAATGAGCAAATAAAGTTTTGAAGCTGAGTGGAATATGCCCTTTTTATCCATGTTGCAAAGTATAAATGTCGTCCGTGTGCAGAGAGCACAGTAGACAGAACAATGACAGAGAGAAGAAGAAGAAAACAACGAGCTACAGGTCCTGACCGACGAGGTGCAGAGGCCTTCCTCTGGGCTTCAGGTAAAGAATTTAAATGTGACAGAGAGAAACTGAACTTGGGGTCTAATACCCCAGTCTGTCAGTGCACTTCAGTTCCCACCAGCTCCTTGAAGATGACAATTATTTCACTTTAAATGTGTGCAACTATTAGTGCAGCTCTTTGTGAGTTGGACTGTTTTAGCAGGACCGCTTTGGCACCAAATGTATGAATATCACCTTATTTAAATATGTGCAAACAGCACAGGAGCAATGGGACGCTGTTGCTTGGCAGCACAGTTAGGAGTGCAGCTGCTTTAATTACACCTTTCCTCCTTCTGTAATTTGTGCAGGTTTAGCTGCCACAAAAGGTGTGCAATCTTTTTGCGGATTCACCCATTTCTGCTTTGCCTTGAAATGAACAGTCTGCATAACCTAAATGAAGAGACATCTTATCTTCAGGCCTGACAGTCCTTCTGTTCAGTTTCTAGAAAGTACAAAACAAAATATTGCAGAAATTAAACGTGAGAAGAATAAAAACATGCTCCAAGCATTTCTGGTAGAAGCGGTGAAGAGGAGCAGGATAGTTCATGTCAGGCAGCTGTGTGTGGCTGGCTGAAGAGTGAGGTGAGAACACATGGGGATGATTCTGCACCCAAGTACAAGCACAATCTCTCAAAAACATATCTGTGTTGGTTTCAGCGACTGACCTCAGAGATGGTGGTCTTGCAGACCTCCACGGCGACAGACTCAAACTTTGGGTCGGTGGTCAGGTTCAGCTTGTAGTTCCACAGCAGCTGGAGGAGAGAAGATGACAAAACATCTGGATTAATCAGGTTTACTAACTATCAGGACCATCATGCTGCTCAAAACATTAAACCTTTTTTAAATGTATTCAAACAATCAGTTATTTTATGTTTTATATTTGTGTTACAGATTTTTATTGTGTTTTGTGAAAATGCAACAATTGAATGTGGACTTTTATTTTATATGAGCGTAAAATGTTGTATTTCATGTTGTCATACATCAAAAATATTGTAGATAGAAAAATATGGACATTGAAGTGCCGTTGAAACAACAGATTTAGTAGGTTAAAGTCAACATCTACAATATTTTCACTTGACATGGTTGAGAGCTCAGGAAAAAGCGAGTCAGTGGACCTTCACCTGGGATTATTCTATCAAACTATTTCTTCAAAGGAGAAGAAAGAACTAACTAATGCTAACATTTTAAGCTAACAGTGTGATGGATGAAATGATAACAGCTCATGAGCTTGCATGTCATGTGGTTGAAAGCTCCAGAAAAACTTAGTAAGGGTCAGTGATAGGCACGAGTACTCAATCACTACTTAATGACAACAGTCTGTGCAGCATTTTTGCTTCAGTATTCTTTTCGTATGCTATCCTTACATTCATTTTTTTTGTGAGTACTCGAGAAATAATTTATTAGGAGTATTTAAATATGGAAATTACTTAAGATGCCTATCCCTAGTAAAAGAACCTTAAACTGAGAACTTGTTTTTGGTCAAACCAGTTTAACCCAGACATCTAGATATCCACAGATATCTAGATGTCTGGGTTAAACTGGTTTGTTCTGGTTGTTGAAGTGAATGACGGTATCAGAATGGTGCTCTATGCTTAACATACACTGGAATTCGAGGATAACATGGTGCATGCTGGGAAATGGTGATTTAGCAGGTTAAGACACTTACATGGTTGCATTCAGCGGCAATCTCAGTGTCCTGAAAAAGAAGAAGAGAAAGGAGACGTTAGTTTTAAGATCATAAGGACGAAGCATGTGTCACAACAAGTCGACCACACTGACACTTCTAAAAGCTGTAAGAAGTGTGGAGACATGTTAGGCTGAGGGACACAACCAGTGTATCACCTGCAACCTGGAATAACCCATAACCCACTGCAAGCTTGTCTGCAGTGCAACACCTCTGTCGAGCACACAGGGCGCAAGCAAACTCTGGAGGATGGAGTGCGAAAGATTGTCCAGATAAACTACGAGTGATGTCACAGTGCGAGGAGGGGATGAGATCTGTTTAGGCACCACTGAGACTCCTCCCTCTGCAAATTATTTATTTATAACTAATAGTTTTCTTGAGTTTTCATCAGTTCCTCGGCTGGAATGACGATTTTTGGTGATTGGCAACCTCGTAAAAGAGTCTCTCTTCATTCATGCTGACTACTGACTGGAGGGAAAACAAAAACTTCAAGAATGTCAGGGTTGATTTTGACTGATGAAAACAGTTTGGAAACAGACCAAGTGTGCTCAATTTACAAATAAGAGTGAGGGTGAGCACTAAGCCTATTGGCTGATCCACAGAGCAGGTTAGAATATCTTCAGTCTGATGTTTGTGCATTTGCATCATATCTAGTTAGGAAGACGTCTAAAGCTAGGTTTATGCCGTTGTGCCCAGCGCAAGACGTGCATGGCAAAAATGAAATCATCATGTCTTTCGCTTCCAGTGCAAGTGCTCAAAAGCTGTCGCGGTGCTTGGTCCTGTGCTACGTGAAGTCAAATGACCTCAAATTATTGGAATAAAACAGTCAGCACACTGGAGAAAGAAGAGGCTTTTTGCTACAGGGTGTGGAAGAACATGAGGCATCAGCTCTCAAACCTAACTGATGGAAAGAGTGGCGGCCCCACTGGAAACAAAGTAGTATAGCATAATTTAACTTGGAGGTCAGCCCTAACAATTACAGTATACAAATGTAATGTTTGTCGGTGTTTACTACTCGTGCCAGGCAGCCTACTTTTCCGGTGACTTTCTTCAAGGCAACACTTGCTGAGTCCTTGCTTATCCACAGAATATTCTGTTTGCACGCTCCCTGGTGTTTCAGATTATATTATGAACAACGCGTTGAACATAAATGCCTCTGTGCTCTCAGCCTACATGCCATCTACAGAGGCCCTCGCCACCATGTCTCGCATGAGTATAAACAAAGCTTAACGGTGCGTTCAGGCGGTTATTGCTGAGCCTAGCATTGGTGCAGACATAATGGTTAAACCAAGAGATGCAGATTTGGCCCACTGGTCTGACACACCTTGGTAGGTGGCCTCCTTCCAGTGAGGCGGCCCCTGCCTCAGGACGCAGCTTCTGGGGCCAATGTGGAGTTATTTTCCTGCTGCACTGCACTGACCTGAGGTAACCTGTCGGACTTCCTGTTTCGACCAGCAGCAGCCAAATGCCTGCAGACCAGCGACTGCCCCTCGTCTTTAAAAACCAAATCACTGCTGTATTCCCAGAGGAGGACTGTGTGTGTGTGTGTGTGTGTGTTTGAAATCACAGCTCTGCAGATGGCCGAAGAGCTTCTGACTGTTTACCACATGGCAGCCGCACCACGGGCCAGGAATAGGCCGCCTGTGTGTGTCTGAATATTCATGTGTGTGTTCTATTCACGGTGTGTTTCACACACAAGTGTCACAATGCTCTTCACACAGACAGTAAACGCAGTGTGGCGGCGGAGGTGGGGGCTTCAGCCTGCTCACACTGACGAGGAGGATGGACAGATGTTATAAACAGCGCAGAGCTGACTCAGTGGTCAGCCGGGGTGAAAGAAAATAAACAAATGGTCCTGGAAATGTGACCCAGACTGACCCAACACCGCTGACACACCCACCACCAGAACAGAAAAGCAGCACCAGTTCAGATACAGCCTCTCGTTGTGTTCTTTATTCTAGTATTCAAGTATTGAATCTTTTTAGGAGGAGTCTCTTGACATGAAACAGCTTCTTTGTGATATTTAATCGGGTGGTTTCTGCCTGCATAGACACTGTTTTGTTTTTAGAAATTCTCAACATTATAACTGATGGATTCTCATCATTACACCTCAACTTGGATTATGGAAAAAAAACCTCCACAGTCCAGCCCTAACCCACACTGCACTTAAGCCAGAAAACCTGTCACGTGTTAGAGCCTTAACTGGCATCATAACGTTATCATTTTCACTGACTTACATACAGTCACACTTCAGTAATAAAATCCTAACAAAGTGCAAAGTGTTTCCTGACTGTGCTGGCACTGGAACTGGGATCATACAGGGCCACAGTAGAAGAAGTGGTGCCAGAGTCTGGTCTGCTTCAGGAGCACTTTAACTGGTTTCTCTAGAGTTCAGCACCAGAGCTGAGAGCATTGGAGGGCTGAGCTGAAACAGGACACTCTTCTCTGTCTCCATTAGAGCTGCCCCCGAACAGTCGACCAAATGTTAGTCGACCAGAAAGCTCATTAGTCGACAAGATTTCATTTCACATGTGGCAGCCTGCCACGATTAAAACATCTGCCGCCACATTTTGATTTTCGATTGTTGGACAAACACATTGTTTGGTTATCCACACTGTTGCAGTGCAGCGCGTACTCTGAGCACATGCAGCAGCAGAACAGCAGCCGCAGGGAAAGTGAAATTTAACTGTTCATTTTGCTGGGTCTAAACATTCCTCTGCAGCAGCTGCCCCTCTTATCCATTAATATAATCAGCTCTGATCGGATCAACTGATCAATTATCCACCCCGCGACTCAAAACTCTGCTACTAGGTTTACTGACATGTAAAAGCAAACTGATGTTGTATTTATGTTACAATTCTCAAACTGTTTGTGGAGGCTCAACCCGTTATTCCGGTGCCTCTGACTTGCACCTGAAAGCAGCATTATGTTTCTGTTAAGTCAACACAGTGAATATCAGTGTCAGCTCAGAATGTACCAAAATAAAGCTGCTGGGGGGGTTAACGTGCACGGAGCCGACCTGTCTGACGCTGGATCAAACAGGACGGGACTTTTGTTTTATTTTCTGTGTTTTTTTGGAGCAGCCACTGCCCCGCAGGGAAAACCCCAGCTCTGCACATGCTCAGTCCACCTCTGGACTGAGCAGCCAAACATCACATCACTACTGCTGCAGAGAACAAAGTGGCTCATGCAGGCGTCTATCCAGCTCCATCAGGGGATCTGCACGTGTCAGAGAGCCAAAACCTCTCATCTGTTCAATTCTACGTTGATTTAAAAGCCAAAATATACTGATGATAACAAAACCAGCATCTTTCTGACCAAACGGAGCTCATAACAGCTGGGAAAATGCTGTTATAAGGCAACAGGATATTAGCTGCTCAGGTGGATCAGAGCAGAGCTGTTGAACTGATCTAAGTTACATGTGTGTCAGTCTCAGTGAGCAGCTGCTAGAGATGTAATCTAACACAACAGAAGGAAATAAAACCAACACAGCGGACACACCCTGTCACATACTTTTGTCAGGCTGAACATTAAGGCTCTTTGTTTTACTCCTGCTCCGCTCGCTGAAAAAGCTCCATCTCATTAAATAGCTGCAGCTAAATTAAACTTAATCAGCTCTCCTCATTTTGTCTTGGGAAAACCGGCATGAGGTTGAGCTATAATTGGAAGTGGGTGAGAGGAAGAGTTGGAGAGAGAAAATGACACATGAAGTGATAGAAAGAGGAGAGAATCCAGAGGGAAGCCAGCCATTTCCAACACCTACTGAGTCATGAAGCACAGAGCAACAGCAGCTGTGCGTTTGTATTCATTCAGCCTTCATCTTCATCATCGCTTTATGAGCTCTGCTTCCCAAAATTGACAACAATAATTAAGAGCCAGGCAGTCCCTCTTGTTTATGCCAATGTTATTATCATTATTATTGTTACTGCCATGCAATCTGCCTTCACATGCATGAAAATAAATGTTCAGATGCTTTGATCTGCACGAAGTCCATCACTCTGTTTTCCTCAAAAACTGTAAAACTAATTAAACCTATCTCCTCCCACATTTTCAGCTCGACTGACACACAACTAGCGACACAGCATCTTCCGACTGTCCTCTATAAACAATCCAGCCACATTTTTGAAATGTCAAAAATTGAGCCGACAGTGCATCAAAATGTTTTGGGGTAAACAGTAATAAAAAACAGCTAAATCTTGTTGCATACATCTCAGGTGTTCATGAGTAGTCCAGGTGACAGGTGCCTAATCTGAGCTAATGTGCTTACTTTTTGTATAAATGTCTTCTGAGGTGTTAACAAGTGAAGCAGGTTTCGTGCTTTTATGAACAAGTAAGCATCATTTTCACATATCACCTGGACTGGGACAATGAAGACACAACTTTGATGTTTGGTTTGGTTAATTTTGACATTTGTGAATTGTACAGGATACAGGACATCGTTATTATCTCATATATTTTGAAAATCTATCCTCATGCAAACTATTGCAGTCAATGGAAATAAAACCATCAGTTTGTCACTTACGGAGCAAACACTTTTTGCAAAAATAAATTACAAACATATCTACACGGGGGGGCTAACGTGTGTGCAAAACACAGAACTAAATCAAGCTAAATGCAAACTGTCAGAAAACAGCGGCGTGTATCGCAGCCTCTACGGAAGTGTTGTGGCGATTATCGGGGCCGATATTATGAATTTCTAGGGTTATCGGTATCGAAGACTTTTCCACCAATATGCCGATATACAGTTTTGTTTTCCTCAGCTGCGCTGTTGTGGCCCTGGCGTGCTTCTCACTGCCTGCACGCACCACTCTAGGATCTTAAAAGCAAACTCAAGACCTACCGTTTTAGCCTGGCTTTCCTCCTTTATTTTATTTTATTATTTCTTATTGCTTATTTTATTTTTCAAATGTTGTATTTATGATTATTGTGTATCTATTTATTTATTTTTATCAATCTGTTTTTATTTGGCTAGCATATTAATAACTTTGTTATTTTTTTATTTTGAAAGAGTC